GGAGTCCAGTCCCAGGTGCCACCGGGGGCCAGCCTGGCAATCTGGCCTGTCTGAGGATAGGAGTCTGAGGTCTGCTGTGTTAACTCTTTTCTGCACCAAAGGGGAAAAGCCAGCTGTACATTATTGTGAGGATGCTTTCACAGGCATCTACATACGTCAAAATCTATCTAACTGTACACTTTAAATACGTGTGGCTTATTGCATGTCAATTACACCTCAGTAAAGCTGCTAAAATGGTTTTATTTCATAGTTCCATGATGAGCTGTATGGATCGAGCATCTTGTGTTTATTCACCTTTTGTATTTGTTCTCCTGTGAATTGTCATTGATCTCCCTTCCCATTTTTATTTTAGGATGCTTGTTCTTTATCAAGTGTTCTGTCTCACCTGTTACCAACATTTCCTCTTGTCTGTCACTTATCTCTTAAGCCCATTCATAGTGTCTTTACTCTGGAAGATTTCTGAAATATTCAATGCCGTCAAATTTGTTGGTATGTCTTCTCTCATGTGCTGAAAACATCTGCTTATACATAGGTCTTGGAGTCTAGGAGGCTTTCAAAAATATGTCTCGAATGAATAAAAGACCAAAGCTTACGCAACTCCTTCTCATTCTCTAAATAATTATGAATAAATACTGCACATTATGAATTCTCCTAGAGGAGGGAGTCATCCTGTGGGCATTTACCTGGCGTGCTATTATTACAAATGACCTTTTTTGTTGCTGTTGTTCTTGTGAATTACAGAAACCAGAAAAAGAGTCAAGTCACTTTGTGTCTGATAATAAAAATAGCTGACACATATTTCGTGCTTCTAACGAAGCAGGCAGACAGCGGCGTCAAATGTTAGGAATTCATAGACATCACGTACTTGACCTCTGCAAAGCCGAACTCAGTCTTTCGACACCTCTGACATCTGTGCCTTCTCCAGCTTTTCCTATTTTAGTGAGCAACGCCAGCATCCATCCAATTGCTCGAACCAGAAAACTAGAAGTCATCCTGATGCCTCCCACTCCTGCAACCCACACAGACGAACCAGGGCCAGGTTCTGCCCGTTCAGCCTCCAAGATATTTCTCAGATTCGTCCACTGCCCTGGATCACCCCTGCCAATGCCCTCATCTAAACCAGCACTAGTTCTTGCCCAAAGGACTCTTAACTGGTCTCCTTGCTTCCCCTCTGGCTCCCCAGAAATTCAGCCTTTCTGGACACAGGAGTCAGAAGAACCTTAAAACATAACTTGGATCACAACCCTCACCTGCTTAAAACTCTTCAGTGAATCATTGCAGTTATGGTACAATCTGAATTCCTTCACACGGTCTATAGGATTGTCTCTAACCTCTCACCTCCCCATTGCTCACTAACATTGAGCCAGCCTGGCTTTCCAGTTCCTCAAATACGGCAAGCTCTTTTCTCCCTTTGCCTCAAGCACCCTCTCTGCTGCCGCCATTTCTCACCATACTTTATTTGGTTAATTCGCACAGAACTCTCTTTCTCTTTTTAATTAGTGGCAATTAGTACAACCTATAGTTTTCTCTCTAGGGATGTGTATTAGTTATCTTTGGCTGCATAACAAATTACCCCAAAGCTTAGTGGCCTGCAACACAACATTTAGTATCTCGGAGTTTCTGTGGATCAGGAATCCAGGTGCACTGGGCTGGATCCTTAGCTTCAGGGTCTCTCAAAGGCTGCAATCAAGGTGTCCACTGGGCATCAGTCATCTGAAGGCCCGACTGGGGCAGGACCCCCTTCCAAGATCGCTCATGTGGTTGTTGGCAGGATTCAGTTCCTTACAGGCTCTTGCACTGAAGGTCTCAGTTTCTTGCTGACCGTTGGCTGGAGGTCACCCTCGGTTCCTGGTTATGGGAGCCTCTCCAACATCGCAGCTTGCTTCATCAAAGTATGCAAGCTGAAAAGGCATAGAGAGAGTTGTGCCAGCAAGACAGAACTCACGGTTTTTGTAACCAAATCATGGAAATGCCATCCCGTCATTTTGACATATTCTATTTGTTAGAATCAAGTCACCAGGTCCAGCTCACACTCACAGAGAGTGAACTACACCAGGGCATGAATACTAGGATGTGGGGATCATTCGGAAGCATCTTAGAAGTCTGCCTACTGCACTACGTTATTATTTCATTAATACTTGTCTCTCCCTGTAGACTGTAAACTGTGAGGGCATGGGCTTTGCTTTTTGCTCCATTTTATTAAAAACATTTTTAAATTGTGGTGAAATATACATAACATTAAGTTTACCATTTTACCCATTTTAAGTGCACAGCTCAGTGGCATGAAGCACACTCACATTGTTGTGCAACCATCCCCACCATTCATTTCCAGAACTTTCCATCTTCACAAACTGAGACTCTGTCCCCATGACACACTGACTCCCCTCCCCTCCCCCAGCCCCTGGCCCCACCATCCACTTTCTGTCTCTGTGGATGTGACTCCTCTAGGGGCCTCCTGTGAGGGGATCACACAGTGTCTGTCCTCCTGTGTCTGGCTCGTGTCACTGAGCATCGTGTCCTCCAGGTCCATCCACGTTGGAGCATTCTCCACTTTATTCTTAGCGTCTCTCCCCATGCCTGGCTCATGGTAGGCTGACAAGATCTTAATTAACAAATGAATACAGTCTCCTCCTTCCTAATTCTGGTTGCTTTTATGGGGCAGTGGAACAAGCTTTTCTTTTTTGAATGTTCCCTTCTCCCCAGCTAAAAAATATCAATAGTCAATTTTCAGTCTTCATCTTGAGCTATCTACAGTATCGACACAATAACCAAACGATTCTGTTAAAATATGTTGGATCTGTCACATCTTTGACGAAAACTCGGCAATGGATCTCCATGTCCCTCAAAGTCCTTTCAATGCCCTCCAAGGCCCTTCACGATCTAACTCCCCCGTCTCCACATACACTTCCCGGCCTGACTGGGTTTGGCCACACTGGCTTTCTTGTACCCATGCCTTGGGGCCTTCACACTCTCAGTTCTTCTGCATGGAACGCTCTGCCTCCATATATCCCCTTGCCCAACTTCTCCATGTTCAAGTCTTTGCTCAAATATCTCTTTCTCGATGGGGTCTATTTGAGCATCTAAATATCTCTTTCTCCATGAGGTCTATTCAAGCATCATATTTAAAATAGCAGCCCACCACTCAGCATTCCCGATAACCCTTACTGGGCTCTATTAATCCAGAGCACTTGTCACCTTCAGACAAAATTCCATCACTTATTATGTTTATTGATTATTTTCCATGTCTGCTCTTAGAAGGTCCAAAAGGCAGGAGATCTTTGTTTTGCCCACAGATGTTCTCCTAGAAAAGGCCCTGGCACATAGCAGGCCGATATGCTGAACCGATGAATCTGCTTCTTAAGCCGACGGGCAGGGCATCAGCAGCGAGGATGCGCCCAGGTCAGGCTCGCGTTTCGCGCCAAAGGCCCAGCGCGGGATTCAGCACCTGACGCCCCTGGACAGCTCTGGGAGCCAAACCCTCCCGGAACCCTTCTTCTAAGGTCGGAGTTTCCGGAGGGAGCCGCCTGGAGGCTGTACCCGCCGCTCAGCGGGAGGAAACTCCTTTCCCGTGCAGGTAGGAGAGGTGGAGTCGCAGGATGAGTAGCGGCTGCGATAGCCAATGGCGTGGCGCGCTCGGCCCGCGGCGCTCGGGGCGGCCAATGGGCAGGGGCGTGGGCGGGGCGTGGGCCGCGGCGCGCCGGCCGGGAGGCGGCGGTGGGGTCGAGACCGCGGGGCGGTTGAGCGGCGGCGGCGCCGGCGGGGCCCGGCGGAGGTAAGTGCGGGCCGGGCCGGGGGCTGTTGTCGGCGAGATCTGCATCCGGCTCCCCCGGCAGAGCGCGGGGTGTCCCCTCTCGGGCGGGACCGGGTCGGCCTCGCCCTCCGCGGGGCGCCGGGTGCAGCGCGGGGCATACAGCAGGCGCTCAATACGTGCAGAATGAATGAATGAATGAGCCCGCCCCCTCCTCTGCCCGGCCCCATCTGCCCCCGGGGTGAGAGCGTCCAGGCCGCCCTCACCCCCCAACCCACAGACTGGGGCATCCGGACACCCAGCAGGCATTTATTGGGCCCCTACTGTGTACCTGGCTGTGGGCTGGGGAAGACAGACTCTTGCCTCCGCGGAGGTCGCAGCCTAGAGCGAGTGGGGACATTCAGGGGCTTTAAATCAGGTCGTTCTCCATAAATAATGGCAGGGAAGCGAGGGAGAGGCCTCTCCGACTGGTGACATCTGAGCTGAGACCCGAAGGGCTCCGTGTCATGGGGGCGCGGGCAGTGAGAACTGGGAGGCTGGGGGAACCTAAGGGCGGAAGCAGCCGAAGTCCTTTGTACTAACAGTGACATTCTTGGGTCCAGGGCGAAATCTGCTCTGGTTTGGATCATTGAGTCACGTAAAGAGATCCACATGCTTCAGCCCGTCTGTTCGTTCAGCCAGCGGTCACGGAGCTTCTGTTCTGCACCAGGCCTCGCGGTGGGTACAAGTTATACGGCATAGGGCAGGGATCGGCCAGGGGAGGCTCTTCCCAGGGGTCTGGGAGGCAGTGACCCGAAAGATGAGACATCATTGGAAGGTCGTGGGAGAGAACAACCTGTGCAAAGGCCCTGGGGCTTGGCACATCCAGGGACCACAAAGGCCAGAGTGGGGTGAGATGAAGCAGGAGCGGTTGGTGCAGAGCCTTCCTCTCAGGATGAAGCGTTTGGATTTCACGTACGGGCAGTGAGAACCCAGTGAGGCGGCACCACCCCAGAGAACATTCTGCAACGACGGAAATGTTCTGTTTGTGCTGTCCCATATGGTGGCTACTGAACGCTTGAGATATGGGTAGGGCGATGGAGGAGCTGGATTTTACATTTTATTTCATTTAAATTAATTTAAACAGACACCTAGTGACTGCTGTATTGGACAGCGCAGTCTGCAGGCAGCCATGACTGTGCCAGGCCTGGAAGGGGGTGAAGTCCTGGGGGTGGCGGGCTTGGTCACTGGAGCCGGGCAGATGCTCCAACAGCTGACGTGGTTGCCCCTGGTGTTCGCAGCGTCTGGACTGAGGCATGAGCCCCCGGCCGCGAGGTGGGGCCCGGTAGCACGCGGCGGGACGGGAGCGTCACCCGCACGTGGTTTGGCCCTGCGGTGCCTGGAGCAGCCATGATGAAACTGCTGGTGGCCAAAATCCTTTGCATGGTGGGCGTGTTCTTCTTCATGCTTCTGGGCGCCCTGCTCCCCGTGAAGATCATCGAGACGGACTTTGAGAAGGCCCATCGCTCGAAAAAGATCCTCTCGCTCTGCAACACCTTTGGAGGCGGGGTCTTCCTGGCCACGTGCTTTAATGCTTTACTGCCCGCCGTGAGGGACAAGGTAAGGGCTGCCTGGGTGGCAGCAGCAGCCCTGGGCCCCTTATGACCAAGGCTCTCTGATGCTTTTTCAGTGCCGACACTGAGCTCATGGGGGAGCTCAAGTAGAAAATGAATTTGCTGTGTGACCATGAGTTGGTGGCTTCTCCTCTCTGGGCCTTAGCTGGTAAACAAGGGGTTTGAACTAGACCTGGGGTTCCCAACTGGTGGTTCGTCCATCGTTACCTGACCAGACAGCCCACCCCGGCGAGCGTGTACTTTGTCCTGAAGCTGGCGACTGTGGCCTCTCTTCAGCTCCTGTATCAGCTAGCTACTGCTGCGTAACAAATTGTACCAGACTCGGCGTCTGAAAACAACACAGGTTTATCATCTCACGGTTTCTGTGGGTGAGGATTCTGGGCCTTGCTTAGCTGGGTCCTCTGCTCCTGGCTCTCATCAGGCAGCACCGAGGTGTCTGCTGGGCCGTGGTCTCACTCAGGGTTCACCTGGGGCTGGAGCGGCTCCTGAGCGCATGTGTTGTGAGCCAGGTTCAATCGCTTGCTGGTCATCAGACCAAGGGCCTGGTTTCTCCCTGGCTGTTGGCTGGGGGCTGCCCTCGGTTCCTGGCCACGGGGGCCTCCCCAACGTGGCCGTGTGCTTCTTTCACCCACGCCTGGATTTCTGACGCTCAGAACCCTGAGAAGATGTGTTTGTGTTGTTTTGTGCTGCTGAGCCTGTGTCCCTTCGTTACACAGCACAGGAATCTCGTACTGTGTGCTGGTAACACTGCAGGGCAGGCTTTCCCAGCCCTGGCGCTGCTGACGTTCAGGCCGGGTCCTTCCCCAGCTGCTCCAGGGGCTTCCCTCGCCCCAGAGGGTCAGGTCCCCCCTCCCGGCGCCCCCACTCCCCCAGCCTCAACCAGGCGCCTCTTGGAGAACGGCACCGCAGTCGATGGCTTTTGTGTGTCGGCCTCGTCTTTCCTGATCCGTGTTTATCCCTTTGGGAGAAGCTCATGCTTCTCACCAGCTGCTGTTTTCCCGGCTGGCACAGGGAGGCCTCCATGAGATGTTTAGCGAATGAATGAAATGGCTTCTCCACGGAAACACGGCCGTCTGCTGCAGCAGAGTCTCATCCCGGGGCAACTCTGCCCCCCAGGGGACACTGGGCTACATCTGGGGACATCCGTGGTTGTCACACTGGGGGTGCTCCTGGCATCGAGTGGGTGGGGCCAGGGATGCTGCTCAACCCCCCACAGCGCCCAGGACGGCCCCACCCCAGTGTCAACAGCACCCCCACAAGTCATGACAACCAGAATGTCTCCAGACGTGGCAAGTGTCCCCTGGAGGGGCAGGGCCCCTCCCCGGGTGAGAACTGCTGTGTGTGTGTGTGTGTGTGTTCACAGGCTGTAATGAAGCCTTGAGGGGAAAGAAGACAGTACTGTGAGCGGAGCGTGGGGGCCCCTGGTTTAGGGAGGGTACTTGGAGATTACAAAGCATGAGCATCAACCAGCTGTAAGACTGAAGCAGGAACATTCTGGACAGAGCCCACGGCACGCTCTGATGCCCCAGGGCCGGAACGAGCTGTGTGTGTGCAAACATCCTTATGAGTCCAGGGAAAATTAACCCGGGCCCTGCTGTCCAGTATGGCAGCCACTTGCTGTACCTGGCTGGTCAAGTTTCAGTGACTTAAACTGAAGCACAATTCAGCATGCCCGTCCTCAGCCACGCAGGCCACTGTTCAAGTCCTCATGAGCCACGCGTGGCTAGTGGCTTCCGTATCAGACAGCACCGATAGAAAACGTTTCCATCATCCAGAAAGTTCTATTGGACGGCGCTGGCTCGAGGGATCTGATGGGGGTGGCCAAACGTGCCAGGCAGCCTCATATTCCTTCTCAGCACCTTATCCCAGGAGGTCCAAGGGATGGGGAGACCTCTGGAAGAGAGCCCGCCTTGTGCGATATGGAAGCAAACCCCGCACAGGCCTTGGGGCCGGAAGAGCTGGTTGCCGTCAGTGCTGGAGGCCGGACGTCCCAGATCAGGGTGCCGGCAGGGCTGGGTCCTGCTGAGGCCTCTCTCCTCGCCTCGCAGACGGCCGCCCTCTTGCTGCCTCTCCACACGGTGGTCCCCGGTGACTCTTCCTCTCCTAAGGACACCAGTCCTGTTGGACGAAGGCCCACCATAATGGCCTCATTTTAACCAAGTCACCTCTTTAGAGACCCGTCTCCAAATATGGTTACTTTTGAGGCACTGGGGGTTGAGAGACTTCAATATATGAATTTTTTTTTTTGGAGGGGACACAGTTCAGCCCATAACACCTTAATTATATCTCCAAAGACCCTTCTTCCAAATAAATCACATTCTGAGGTTCCGGGTGGGCAGATCTCTTGGGGCCACAGTTGAGCCCGCTGCGGGGTTTTAGAACTGGTTGGTGGATGTAGTGGATGTAACTGAGGCCTCGTGATTCCCTTCGTAACAGGGTTGTTTTTAACCCCTGGAGAGTGAACCCGCCTCCCTCTCTCCTTTTTTTAAACTTCTCGTATGAATTGGGGATTTCTGTGCTTTGCTCATCGACCGGTGACATCTGAGGGACCCTGTTGCATTGGTGGCGGGGGTCCCGGCCGCCCTGCCTCTGAACCCCTCTCTCTCTCTCTCTCCTTTTCTCTCTCTCTCTCGCATCCTCTGCCCCAGCTCCAGAAAGTTCTGAGTCTCGGGCACATCAGCACGGACTACCCGCTGGCCGAGACCATCGTCATGCTGGGCTTCTTCCTGACCGTCTTCCTCGAGCAGCTCATCCTGACCTTCCGCAAGGAGAAGCCGTCCTTCATCGACCTGGAGACCTTCAACGCCGGCTCGGATGCCGGCAGCGACTCAGAGTACGAGAGCCCCTTCATGGGGGGCGCGCGGGGCCGCGCGCTCTACGGGGAGCCCCAGGCCCACAGCCACGGGCTGAGTGTCCAGGAGCTGTCGCGCTCCAGCCCGCTGCGCCTCCTCAGCCTGGTCTTCGCCCTGGCGGCCCACTCCGTCTTCGAGGGCCTGGCCCTGGGCCTGCAGGAGGACGGCGAGAAGGTGGTCAGCCTGTTCGTGGGCGTGGCCATCCACGAGACGCTGGTGGCCGTGGCCCTGGGCATCAGCATGGCCCGGAGCTCCATGTCCCTGTGGGACGCGGCCAAGCTGGCTGTCACCGTGAGCGCCATGATCCCCCTGGGCATCGGCGTCGGCCTGGGCATCGAGAGCGCACAGGGCGTGGCCAGCAGCGTGGCCTCGGTGCTGCTGCAGGGCCTGGCGGGCGGCACGTTCCTCTTTGTCACCTTCTTCGAGATCCTGGGGAAGGAGCTGGAGGAGAAGAGCGACCGTCTGCTCAAGGTCCTCTTCCTGGTGCTCGGTTACGCCGTGCTCGCTGGCATGGTTTTCCTCAAGTGGTGAGCGGCCCGTCGCCGTCGTGGTCGCCCCCGCCCGGCGGGAGCTCGCCAGGAGCCCCGGACACAGGCCCGGTCCCCCAGCCCCGCGCCCCCTCGAGGCGGGGGTTCAGGCCCCGGGCACCGCCTGAGCACAAAGGGGCCCCCCAGGACCGGGCCGTGCCCCACATCCTACAGCCCGAGCCTCGGGGGACTGTTACTGCTTTGAAAAATACTGCTCTTAAAAGTATTCACCAAAGCTGTGTGGCCACGTCAACCTCGGGCGTGGGGATCTGGTGACTCTCACGGGCGGTGGGGCTGGGCGTCTGGATGGGGTCAGGCCGAGGCCCTCCCCTCCCCCGCACAGCCCCAGCTGAGGACGAGGCCTCGGTCCTCTGACCCCCGGCTCCGTGGCCGACCCCGCAGCCTCCCCTCCGAGCCCTGAGGAAGGTGCTGCATGTGGCAGCCGGCTGTATTAGAGGTTCTAGTCACTATAACCCGACGCCCCGGACAGTTTCTAGAAGGAGCCACCAGCGTGGAGCCTCGGTGCCACAGCTAGACGTGGCAGCTCTGTAGCTCCTGCCGCCTGAGGCAGTGTCTCCTGGGGGACAGGCAGGGTCCGGGTACCCCAGGACCACCCTCTTCTTCCCTGCCTCCTGGCGCGGCCCCCCTGGCTGGGGAGGTTGTTCATCTCAGTTTCCTGGGAGCGGGGGCCCACGGGCCCGAGAGACATGCGGGCAGGGCCGGGGCGCAGCTTGGCCATCGGTTCCCAGCCCCGTGTGCAGCCGGGGTCTCCAGAGCAAGACGGCCTCCCGCAGGCCGTGGGGCAGGCGATTCCCCGCCAGACACAAGCAAATGAAGATGCTCGCGGCCCCAGAGGGCGCGGGGGACTAACACCCGCGTGCCGGGCTGGCGCAAAGCCTCGGCCCAGCTCCGTGGCAACCCCTCGTTAGCCGCCTGTGGTTGGGGCAACCCGGCCGCGTGCCTCCGGGAATGAGCCGGGGCGAGAGCCTCTCCCTGGGGATTCGGCTGTGTCTGCTCGAAGCCAGGGAGGCTCGGCAGGAGGGAGTGGGGCCCGGGGGCCTGGGCTGGGTTCTCGCAGCCTCCGCCTCTCCCACCTCTGTCCCGGGCTGTAGGGTTAGCTCCTTACTCGTGCTGTTCCTGCTTCCTCACTCGGCTGCAGGCACCAGGGCCCAGCTGCACACCCTTCTAGAATCCCAATTCCTTCCTGCGCCCCACTCACGGCCCACCACCCCCCACGCCAGGAAGACACTGCTGCAGTGGGGCCGTTCAAGCTCCCCTCAAGGAGCCCTGAGCTCAGCGAGGCCTCCAGTCCATCTCTCCGGCCAGGCTGGGAGCTCCAGGGGCAGCTAATTGCTTGTCCCAGGGTGGGCGCCCCAGGGGCCAGCCTGCTGCTGCCCGCTTGGCTCCGCCAGGCACGAGGGGACGTGACCGTCACCATGGCCTGGCGTCCTTAGGTGTTGCTACGAGAGTCTGGGGGAGCAGGGAGGCGTGTCTGAGACACCCCCCGTTTCCACTCTGTGGGGCCCCCACCCCAGCGCTGTTGGAAGCATCAGGCCCGTTTCCAGGAACTTCTGTCTGAATCTCTTACCGGGGACCCTTCTAAACCCTGCGTGGCCTGACCCTGTCCCCGTGCCGGGAAAACGACCCCCGTGGGTGTGGAAACATCGTCTCTGCTCTGTCCTAAACCCAGCGTTGCCGGCCTCTGCCTGCCCCCACTTCACTCTGCCGGGAACCGGAAGGTTCCACCACGTCGGCCTTTGCCCCGGTGGGCGGGTTGCCGTGGAGCAACCAGATTCCAAAACCTGCCTTCAGCTAGGGGGATGTGGCCAGTGGGATGGGGCTGGGCGGGGGACAGGGTGGAGGCATCGGGGGTCCCACACAGGAAGGTTCAGGGCCCCTGTCCCCCAAATGTGGCAGAGACCACACGTGGGGGCAGGGCAGCCTGCCCCAGGAGTCCCCAGCTCTGGACCCCCATCACCACCCAAAGCACACACACGGCAGGATCCCCATCCTGCCAGCCTTCAGCTCCCTGGGGTGGCCCTGGGGACATCCCCACACTCCTCCTTCCCTCTAGTGAAGCCTCCAAGGCCATGTCGTCCCCCTCACTCTGAGCCGGCTTCCTGTCAGCAGGCTCAGGAAGAGCGCCGCCACGTCTCGTGGAAGACCTCTGCCAGCCCCTGATAGAAATCCCCGCTGCGGTTCCCAGCATCCTCAGATGCCGCCCCGTCTGCCTGCCGCCCGCCCCGTCTCAGGTCTGCCAGCCCGCTCCCGGCTGCCCCTCCTTCCCAAGGGTCCCACCAGCCCCAGCAAACCTGCTTCCAGGCCCCATGAGGACAGTGGGACCCGAGAGGCTCGGGGAGAGGCCGTGTGTAGGAGAGGATACAGGCTGCCCCGCCAGCTCCCCGAGGCCACCTCTGGCCGCCCCTCCTGTCTGCTGTGGTCGAGGAGCAAAGGTCAGCCCTGGGATCTGCTTCAAGAAGCCACTATGGCTCAGCCAGCCGCAGGGGTGATGGTGTCTCTGGCCGGCTCTGATCGGCTTTCCCCACTTTGGGGGAGGATCAGAACGTCTCCACATTGGGGTAAGAAGGAGAGTGGTCGTCCCACCCAACAGAAGCCAAGCTCACTGCTGAGGTCCCCGGCCAGTGGTGGCGAGTCCGGCCTAGACCAGCGTCTTCTGAGGCCAGCTCAGCCGCTCCATACCCCGCCGGCTCTGACACAGGACAAGTGGTGACAGGGGGTTCGGCGTGAATAAGCCTGCGGGTTGGTCACCACCTGGGGCCCTGGACCAGCCCCCGCCACAAAACTGGATGTCGGCCACGAAAGGCTTCGTCCAGCTCCGTGCAAATGTGCCACGTCGAGGAAATGTCGCGTGGCCTGTGGAAGCAGATGTTCCTCCTTCTCAGGGGTCTTTTGCTAACTCTGGTTCTCTTTCCAGGCAATTCTGCCCCCAGAGGACCCTGGGCCACGTCTGGGGACATCTGTGGTTGTCACACTGGGGGTGCTCCTGGCATCGAGTGGGTGGGGCGGGGGATGCTCCTCAACCCCCCACAGTGCCCAGGATGGTCCCCCACCGAGAGTGGCCCACCCTGATGTCCACAGTGCCGAGGGGGCGAAATCTCCCCTAATTCACAGGGAGTGATGATGGGTCGCAGACAGGGGCCAGTTCGTTTCGAGAGTCTGGGCCGAAGAGACAGAGACAGACGGAGGGAGGAGAGGGAGGGCAATGCCAGCTGATTCAGTGTTCAATGCTCACGGCCACGCCCAGGCACAGCTTGGACACGATCGCCCCCAAAAAGCACAAACAGCTCTGTTTAAAAAAACTTCGAGGGGCCGGCCCGGTGGCTTAGCTGTTAAGTGCTCGCACTCTGATACCAGTGGCCTGGGTTCAGATCCCGGGCGCGCACCGACGCACCGCTTCTCCAGCCATGCTGAGGCCGCGTCCCATGTACAGCAACTAGAAGGATGTGCAACTATGACATACAACTATCTACTGGGGTTTTGGGGAGAAAAAGGGGGGAAAAGGAGGAGGATTGGCAATAGATGTTAGCTCAGGGCCGGTCTTCCTCAGCAAAAAAAAATAATAAAAAAATAAAAAAAACTTGGAGCACAAACACCAAACACCACCTTTGTTCGGATGCTCCTGCCTGGGACAAGGTCACCCCTGGCCACTTGCTCGGCTGGGCTTCTTGGCTCTGCCCAGCCAGGCTTCGGGTGGGTCCGATTGTGGGGGTGCACGGGGTGGGGCGCCGTTCAGAGCTCTGCATGTGGGAGCGTTAACTCAGGCCTTGCCTTCTTCCTTGGCCGAGCCTGCTGGAGTGTCACCTCCACCAGGAAGCCCTGACTGACCCGCCGCCCTCTGCAGTCTGCTCAGCGAGGGGGCCCCCCCGGCACAGGCGACAGCTGGATGGAGTCGACCGAGTCCCCTCCTGGATCTGGAGACAAAAGAGGAGAAAATTAGGAGGCGGCACCGGGGCCCCGCGGATTGAATCAACCGTAATAACAGCGTGTCGCGCTTCTGTTGTCTGCTGTTTGCGATTCTGGAGGAGAAGTTATTAGTGCGGGGCGGGGAGGGGGAGCAACGGTTCCCCGTCTGTCTGCATCTTTCGGCCCCCAAAAGCAGGCAACAACGGAGGGGATGGTGTCACCCAGCCAGTGGCGCCTTCAGACCTGCCCTGGCCACCAGCTGGGACCCTCAGCCCTGCCCGGGAGAGGGGGCCGTGCATCCCCCCGTCCCACCCATGGCCGCCCTGAGTGTCCGTCAGCTTCGGGACAAAGCCACTGATGGTCCATCAGACCTTCCGAGAGACACCTGCAGGCGGGGAGGGCCTGGACACTGCAGGGCGTGGGGGGTGTTCTGTGAAGACCCTAGAACTCTTCTCCAGTTCTCAGGGTGCTGAGGCCAGACTGGGCTGGAGCAGGGAGACCCCCTCTGTCCCTGCCACCCCCAGGAACTGCTGACCTGGCAGGCTGCGGTGTTCTGGCCGAGGGCCGAAGTGATTGCCGTGTGCTCAGCCTGGCAGGAGAGGACCGGGTCGGGCAGGTGGGCAGTTCAGAGCCCCCACTTCCTCAGTGCATGGGAGGTGCCACTGAGGTGCTGCATTTAGATCAAAGGAAACGGCCACCACGGTCGGCGGGCCCTCTGCCTCGAGGGGCCGGCTGGGCCTCCCTCTGAGCTGGTGCAGGCCCCTAGAACAGGGTCTCTCCCCCGGCACTGTGGACATCCGAGGCCGTCCTGTGCCACGTAGGACGTAAGCAGCATTCCTGACTGGCGGGTGGGGCCTGAGAATCTGCATTTCTACCAAACCTTAGGTGATGCTGACGTTGCTGGTCTGGGGACACGTTTGAGATCCACAGCTCCGCTCCAGGGCTCCCCCCTCACCCCGGCAGTGCTGACACGAGGGCCGGGTCACTCTCTGTGGGGGGCCGTCCTGGGCACTGTAGGGGGTTGAGCAGCATCCCTGGCCCCCAGCCATCGATGTCAGGAGCACCCTCAGTGTGACAACCACAGATGTCCCCAGACATGTCCCAGTGTCCCCTGGGGGCAGAGTCACCCCGAGTGAGACCCACTGCCACGTAGGGCAGCTCACATCCTGGTGAGGAGACAGATGACACAGGAACACATAACACAATATCAGGTCACAATAAACACCCTGAAGACAAAACAGCAAGATGAAGGGAGACAGACTGTTTTAGCAGCATGGTCGGGGAGGAAATCTCGAGGGGCCACATTCGAGTCACAAGAAAATGGGGGAAGAGCTTTTCCGGCAGAGTGAGCAGCCCCTGCAAAGGCCCTGAGGTCTTTCTGTGTGTCACAGTCCTGATAGAAGCTGCCCTGGCTCTCTGCAGAAAGACCCCCGCGTCACAGGGGTGTATCCATTAAGGGGAAGCCCCAGCCCGCCTCCCTGGGTTAGGCAGGTGGCTTTGGCGGGGAACCAGCGCCCTCCACCCCGGGCTGGGGTCCACCTCCCACAGACGCTGATGGGCAGAATTTGGGCTCAGACACGTCAGCCCGTTCGTTTTTCAAAGCACACTGAGCTTCGACAAATGATCTTATTTTTAAATGTTGACACCAAACTTAAAAGCAAACAAAAAACCCGTGTGGCCAGACCACACCTGTGAGAGGCTGGTGTGTCCAGCCACTGCTTGGCCAGAGTGATGGCGTGAATCCCGGGGCACAGAGAGTGCAGAGGATGCGACCCAGCCGCCTTCCTTGCACCAGGGCAGCCGTGCTGGACCGGGAGTGTGGCGGGGGGATAAGTGACACCAGGGTGGCCCCACCAGGACCCCTGGGGCGGGGAGAAGTCCCACAGGCTGCAAGGAGCCCAGGCGGGCAGCTGGGATGTGCGGGTGAACGCCTGTCCCTTGCGTTCGAGAGGACTTCTGCAGAACAGGCACGGCCGAAGGCCAGGTGCGGGTCCCTGGGCCAGGCCCCCAGACAGCCAGGGACAGCAAGAAGGCTGGGTTGTGGCTTCAGAGCCTGATGGACCAAGTTCCAGCCTCAGCTCGGCCTCTTCCCAGCTGGGCTGCCTCCGAAGACCTGCTTCCCTTCTCTGGGCCTCCGTTTCCAGAGTGGGCGGAGCTGGCCATTCCCAACACACGTGCACACACACACACACACGCTCACGAAGGCCAGGCTCTCCTAGGCGGCCACGGGGAGGGGGTACTGCCGTCCTAGTTTGGGGGCTCCCTTCGGTGGAGGTTTGGGCCCCGTGCCCCCGGGAGAGTGAGGAGGGGACTCTGGGGCCTGGCCTCCTGGCTCCCGAGGCCAAGAGCCTGGCCTGGGAGCTATAAATAGCAGCCACAGAGTGGAACCACTGCGTGCGCCCACGCTCCTCCGCATGAGTCAGCCTGCCCAGCCTGGGCTGGCACCCGAGGAGCCGGAGAGCCGGCCGGAGGCCAGAGGCCCAGCCCAGCAGCGGCCGGTCACTCAGGAGACCAAGGCAGGCAGGCCCGCAGAGTGGGAGGGAGCAGGCCTGTGTGCCTGGCAGCCCCACGTAGGTGGGTGTCATGTCCATTTGTTCCCAGCAAGCCTTCGAGGCAAGATAATAGCAATCCTCGTTCATCAATGGGGAAACTGAGGCTCAGAGGGGCTCTTGGCAGGGACTTGGCAATCCAGATCAGAAGCTAGGATCTGTCTGCACACCAGGCTGTCTCCATCTCTGGCAGAGAGCACCCCAAGATGAGGGGCTGGGGCCAGGCCACCCTCTGAGGTGCCCCACAGGGCCAAGGACAGCGCAGGAGGGAGGAGGGCCCGGGGAACAGCTCCACGCAGCTGGGGGAGGATGGGGAACCAGGAGGAGAACTCTGATCAGGTCACTGAGGACACTGAATGCCAGGCTGAGAAGCTGGACCTTGACCCACAGGTGAAGGGAGCCATGGGCGGCATTAGAGGAGGAGAGGCCCACGTTGGAGGCTGAGCAGTGGATGCCAGAGTGGAAGGAGGCTGGAGGGGGCCGTCCTGGGAGGCCAGGCAGGAGGCAGGTGGGATGGTCCAGCCGGGGGATGCAGCCAAGGGGCCCAATCAGGGAGAAGTGGGGCCCTTCAAGCCCCAGAAGCTGGATGACCCTCAGTGGCCCAGCCTCTAGGGGAGCCAGGTGGTCCTGGGGGCAGTGCCGGTGTCTCCAAGGGAGCAGGAAGGGTGTGCCTCAGCCAGAGCCACGGAGATGGTGGGTCAGCAAGAATTAAGGAGCCAAGAGCCAGAGGGGCCATCTGCTCACACAACTCGTGACAGGGAGCTCACCACCTGCCAAAGAGCCTTTTCACTCTCCGACTGCTCTGACCCCAGCAAGTCCCTCCTTGTGGGACCCTAGCGTTGGCCTCCCCATCAAGGGGCGCCTTCTTCTAACAGGCTTGGGGCCTGGGGCTGTCACACCCACGCCTGGTCTGGTTGCTGCAGTCCAGTCTCCTCAGATGAGCCTGTGCCCTCCGGGTCTTCAGAAGGGAGGGGGTAAGGGTATCTTGATGCCCTAAACATGACACACAGATGCGTCCAACGCACACACACGTCCCAAAGGCAAAGATTTCTTCTCAGAGACAACTCCTGCTGGAGGAAGATAAGCATTTTCCTACCAGGAAACCCCAAACCCATTCTCTCCCGGCCCCCTTGGTTCACCCCACCTTCAAATGGACCCCAGACTCATTAAGGGCCCACTGCCATCTCCCCCTGGGTGGGCTGCCTTAGTGGCACCAACCCCGACCAAGCGCTAGCTTCGCCCTTTGGTCTCCCCTCCCTCCCAGGGCAGGGCCAAGCCCCGGGAATGGGGCAATATGTCCAGGTATGCCCCCCGCCCCGCAACCCAGCCACCTCTGCCTTCTCACACCTCCCTCTATGGGTTGGTTATTTATCCATTCCGGCCCTGCACCCACTCCGGTGCGGGTCCTGTGCTAGAACCACCCCCACCAACCCTGGGGGTCCCATTCTGCTCCCCCAGCCCCCTCATCTGCAGTTTTGTCAACAGCCCCTTCCCTCTGCCCCGGGGGTGACCCCGACTCTGCCCCCCTCTCGCCCAGCGCCTGGCTCTAGGGGGTGACCCTGGGGTACGCCAGCTCCCACGCCGGGCTCCCCCGGTGGGGGAAGCAGACCCCGCAGGCAGGAGCTGGTGTGCGCAAGGCAGGGGGTCCAGGTGGAGGTCCTCGGTGGGGGTCGGGGGGTGGGGCGTCCCTGGGGAGGGTCTTTGGTGGGGTTCCCGGGTGGAGGGATCCAGGTGGAGGTTCGGGGAGGGGTCCAGGTAGACTTCCAGGTGGGGGTCCAGGTAGGGGTCTGGGTGGAGGTCTTCAGTGGAGGTCTGGGTGGAGAACCTCAGTGGGGGTCCGAGTGGGGGGTCCAGGTGAAGGTCTAGGGTGGAGGTCCGGGTCTGGGTTCTGGAGTGGAGGTTAGGATGGGGGTCTGGGTGGAGGTCTGGGGGTGTGGCGGGGTGGAGAGCTGGGTGGGGTCCAGATGGGGGTCCAAGTGGAAATCTGGGTGGGGGTCCGGGTGGAGGTTCTGCAGTAGAGGTCCCGGTGGGGGTCCGGGGGGTGAGCCGGGCCGCGTCCGGCGGGGCTGCGCGCGGCGGTGACCTTGGCGGGCGCGGGTCCC